AAGCCATTAAATGCACTTCCTTTTTTCACTTTGAGGGCAATGAGAAACCACTTGAGTTTTGCACAGAGGAGTGACAGGGTGTAATTTATAGAGAGGAGAATCACTGTGGTTACCAGATGAAGGGTATACTCTGCGCAGGCAAGTGTATAAACAGAAGGAAGCTATTGAAATAATTCAGGTGATAGATGAAGGTAAATAGTGAATAATTCAGGTGAAAAGTTGCTGATGTGGGAGTTCCTAAAAAGACACCCCACTATGTTCCTTAGTGGTAAGCAGATTGCTTTGAGCTAAAGGCAATTTTAACTGCAGGCTCAAAAGAAACTTCTGCCCCTCCCTTTAACTGCTTAGAAGAACTTGAATTAGGGGCCTTGCCTGTAATAAGCTAGTATCAGAGACAACTTCTTTTGACCTATTTATAGGTCAGAGCAAACCTCTGTTTGCTAAATGTCTATTTTTCTTATAATCCTGCTATGACCCTTTGAGGCCCCCAAGGTGCATTACCTCATCCCTAGCTCAAGGTGTCTTATCTACCTCAATCACCTTTTCCATCTCTGAACCTCTTGTGCATGTGGGATCTCTGACTCTCATGTATGTGGGGTTCCCATACATACGTGTGTATTAAATTTGGTTCATTTCTCTTGCTAATCTGTCTCATGTCTATTTGATTATTAGACCAACCAGAAGAAACTTGAGAATAGAGGAAGTTTGTTCCTCCCACACATTGCTGAAGGTAATTAAAAGTAGTGTAGGGGGGGGGGCTGGTGTATATATCTTGAAAGTAGAGTCTACAGGATTTGCTGATTGATTGCAGATAGTATATGAAAGAGATAACTCAAAAATATTTACAAGTCTTTTGGCCTGAAAAACCGAAAGGAAAGAGTAGTAATTTACTGATGTATATGGAAGATTGGTGGGAATAAATGTCTCCAAGACATCCAAATAGTGATAAGGGGTTGGCAGTTGGTCATACAAGTTAAAGGATGAGATACACATTTTGGAGTAGTCAGTTCATGGATGATAATCTATAAGACTAAATGAGATTCCCCAAAGTGTGAATGTACGAGTATATAGAAAAGAAAGCGGTCTGAAGCTCAGCCTTAAGTCATCCATAACATGTCAAGTTTAGGAAGATGAGGGAAAATGGGAGAGAAGTAGTCAATAAAGTGGGAGGGAATTCAGGAAATATATTGTTCTGGAAGCCAGGTGAAGAAAGTGTTTAAAAGAGAAAGATGTGAATAACCCAGGTCAAATGCTGCCAAGTAGGTCAAGCAAGAGGAAGACTGAAAATTGACCACAGGTTAGCAATGTGATCAATATTTCTTCTCACTGGGGAGAAGCAAATGATGAAACCAGACACCCAGCCATGCTGCCTTATCTAATGTACTGTTTACACAACCCTAGCTCCCATAGTTTTCATGAAGTAAACTGATTTTGCAATTCTTTACTTTGTTTAATTATGCTTTAATCAATTCTTTTTTTTTTAATACATTTTATTGGGGAACAGTGCATTTTTCCAAGACCCATCAGCTCCAAGTCAAGTAGTTGTCTTCAATCTAGTTGTGGAGGGCACAGCTCCTAGGCCCATGTGGGAATCGAACCGGTAACCCTGGTGTTATGAGACTGCGCTTTAACCACCTGAGCTAACCAGCAGCTCAATTCCTTATCTCTGTGCCCTGTCTGATTTCATTGTTAGTATTTTCAAGTTGATTTTTTAAAAATTATGTGAAGGAGATAAGTCAATGAAAATACAGTTTTTAGAGAATATAAATGCCTCATTGTCACTCTTTCAGTTAGTGGCAAAATGGTGACTTCGGCCCAGGACTTTTGACTTCTAGAACCAAATCCTTCTCTTTTAATTTCCAGAAGAAGAGTGGCTGATGCTTCCTTTCTTATCCTTTGGGCTTTTCTTGATGTATTGCCCACTTTTTTCATACCTTCTGTTTATTCTTACTTAATCCCTTAAGTTTTGGTCCTCAGGTTTTTTTGAAAAGCTGCATGCCATGACCTTTAAGGACAAATATCAATATGACTTTAGTACTTTAGGGAATTTGGACTTCTGCCAGGCTCTGAATCCAGAGAATAGTTTTCATAGCCCCTCATCTCCATCCTTTCCTGCAGGACCTACTTCCTCCTAGCATAGGAGAAAGGCTGGGGAAGTATCCAACACTGTACCATTAAACATATATCTACCATTCTCTTGTTACAAAGATGAGGGTTATAGGGTCCAACATCCAAGTACTCAGAAAATCTTGTGAGTGTAATCTCATGTATCATTCTTCTTGATTCTTCCCAAGAGTTTTGCTTCCTTCCACCCTTATATTCAAAAGTCTATTGATTCCTAGTGATGTAAGAGATTATATTGTTATGAATAGCCATCTTCCATCTTCAGGTTGACGTCCCAATGATAATAATTTACTACCGTAAGTTCACACACATGCATGCACTGGACAAAATTACTGGATTAATCACAAATTTTAAATGATAAAACATAAATTGCAAAAATCATGTAGACAGTGGATCACATTAGTGTCAAATTCCTGGTGATAATATTGTACATGAGTGAGGCAAGATGTTACCATTGGGAAAAACTGGGTGAAGAATATATGAGACCTCTGTATTATTTCTTAAAACTGCATGTGAATCTAAAATTACCTCAACATGAAGAGCTTAAAACTATGCAGGTAAAAGGATATTTACAGACAGACTTCGTTTTCCAGGACCATCATGGTCATGATGCTGGGAAGGGACTGTACCTGGGAAACTAATATTTTAGGCAGACTCCACCATGCTGGCCTTCGGGAGTGGAATGAGAAAGTCACAGAAGTAGACAGATAACTAGCAATCTGGGAAGAGAAATGTGGTGATGAATATGCATCTTTATTTTAGCACCAGGTATTCTAGTAATGTTTGCAGTATTATTGTGACTTTAAACTCCACCTTCATTCAGCTGCTATCCTCCCAGTCACGTGCTACAGAATCATCTTTTTGATAAGAATTATTTAATCTATGTATCTATTTGGCCATAGTTCCCACTTTTGCAGCTAAACCAAACATGCTGTTTTCCAGTCATCTGACCTGACCTTCCCTTTGTAGGAATTCTTAAGATCATTGACTCCACTGACAGAAATCAGGCTTCTGACAACCTAATAATAAGATCCCCAGTGAAAGGCCTATTTTTCATTCTGTTTAATTACAGGCTTTAGAGACGCTCAAAATGGTGGGTGTCTTAAGGACAAATGATACTGTAGGCATGGTTTACTTATCTCCTGCCCTTCCACTGCTTTGAAATACATGGCCATGTCTGTGGCTGCATACTGAACAGACCGAGGCAGCACACAGCCTGCTTAACCATCCCGATGCAGCTCAACTAATCCGTGTACCTTAATGGCCAATTCAGAACAGTAGTTTAGATAACTCACACGGCTGGTTTATTTCTAGCGCTATCTGTGTATCTGATCATAAATGAATTCATATATTATCATTTGAATTGGATTTTGTGAACTGTACTGGGGCTTGAACTATAACATGCCTTTTGTGAATTCTAGATAATTGGCTTCCCAAGTGGCCCTTAGAAACGTATGTATAAAATGAGTGATGACATATGGAGAATTTAATCAAATATGTAAGAAACTAACAGTGAAAAGTAAACTTCTCTCCTACTCTTGTTTCCTCAGGGTTTCATTTCCCTCTTACGGAGACAATTACCTTTAATAGTTTCAAGCAGAGATATTCTATGCATACATGAGTACACGCGTATATATATGTTTTATATAGAGAAAACATTGTAGCTATATTTCCCTATATTTACATAAAAGGTAGCATGATGTACACAGTGTTCTACAGTTTCTTTCTTTTAATTAATAACTCATGGAGGTCTTTTACTAACAGTGTCTGTGATCTGCCCTCATCTTTTCAAACAGCTGCCTAGTATTCTGTTGAGTGGATACAATCATTTGTATTTAACCAAGTCACATTTTGATGGATATTTGCTGTTTCCAATATTTTGTCATTACCAACAATGCTTCAGTGAACATAATTGCTTGTAATTGTTTGTGCCATGTGTAGTAATATCTGTAAGATACATTCCTGGAAGGAGAAATCACAGCCAAAGGAAATATCCAGTTTTTAGATTAATAAATATTGCCTAATTGCCTTCCAGAGAGGCTGCGTATTTCCCTTCACCATATATGAGGTTTATCTTCCCATATCTGTCTCTCCTCACTATATTATCAATTTTTTTTAAACTTGTCAATGTGATCATAATTATAAGTTATACTTATCTAATTATGAATGCAGTAAAGTACCTTAGAAATCAGTTCTTACATTCTTTCTGCCTAATCACTGAGTTCTTCATCATTCCCTAAATAATATGTACTCCTTACTGTTTTGAAATGGCAGCTAAAATAAACCTCTGTGTTTATTTTCATCTATTTCTGAACTCTATTCTGCTACACTCATCTTATTGTTCACATGCATCAATACAAACTTTTGTAAATTTCTCTACTTTCACAATATCTTTACATATAGTAGCTTTGTGCCTCTGTATTGTTCTTTTCCAGAATTTCCTCAGATATTTTTGCAAACCTTTTTTGTTGGTGATTGTGTTGAAATTGTTTCATTAAAATAAACATTGAAATACATCCTGTATAAAAGTAGGGTGCAATCATTATGACATAAGGAAAGCTTTATGCCCTACGTTGGGTTAGACCTGGGACTGAAAATGACGTGTAAGAAAAGAAGAGCAAAGAGACCAACAAAGGGAAGAAAACTAAATGAGTGCTCCAAGTATAGGATTCGGTATAAAACCCAGAAATACCCTGGAATAAAATGCACTTGAATTTCATAAGTTATTTAAGCAGCCAGCCAGTTTTGCAGGTCAGCAAGTATAACCCTTGCTTTTAAGGGCCTGACAAACAGTACCAGGTTCTGACCTTAACCTGAAATTCCTTGAACTCTCAGTACCTGTGAGCATGCACCCAGCATTCCTGGCCCCAGCATGCACTCTACCAGTCACAAGTAACCATCGTTAATGAGTGCTCTGCTAAGAAGCATAACTTACAGAGAAGCTAACAAGTTCTAAGGGAGAGGGAAATAAACACAGACATCTTTGAGCAGCTCGTCCTTTAAGTATGGCAAGATCCAGACCTTTTAGTCTCACTTCGGTGATCTCCAAAACAGGGACCTTGTTTTTGCCACTATTCCAGGTAATCATCTCTGTTTCTGGGAAAAGGTTTTTGGAGGTACTCTAAAGATCTGATTTGTTGTAGATTTGTTCTTTGGGTAACTGAACTCCTACATTTAAAAGAATTCCTTTAAGAAAGTGTTACCAGAATCTCACGACTTCTTATATTTATTGGTCAAAGATACAGAGATTCAAATGGCCCATGACATTAATTGTATTTCTCCTTTACTTGGTATTGCTATTTAAGTAAGATAATGCCATTCTTTTTTTTTTACTTAACTTTGCTATGCTGTCATTTTTATGGCTTTTTAAAAATCAAAATAGTTATTGACATAGCAAAATGCTATGGCAGGATTAATTTATGACATTTTTGTTTATTGTTTCCTGCAAACACACTTGACACTTGTCAGTTTTCCAATGCTGAACAATGTAGACAGAATCATCTTAAGAGTTTATTTTGATTTCTCTGCTCTAGAATTTCACTCAGACTAATACTTACATCTCTGTATCTGTGTTACTTGAACGCAATGCATCTGAAAGGTTTAGGTCTGAAATATATTAAGACTGCACTCCCCGTGTCGTGATAACTCAGCCTGACAGCTACTGCACTGGCAGAGAGGTGGTAACAACATAATGTTGTGTACTCCTCGCTAGCGCACAGAGCCCCAGAAGAACAGGAAGACACTTGAAAGTGAAATGCTGGCTTTATTTGCTTATCTGTTAAACTGGATCACAACTGATTTCATCTCCTCATAAATAAACTTTTTTTTTATGGACATAATTTGAATGTTCATTTTCCTCTCAGTAAGTATGCAAATCTATTTGCAGTATTCTAGCAAAAGAGGGGTACAAATCATATTCTGGGCTTATAAATTGTTCATTACCACTCTCTCTGATGGCTAATTCATGGCTCCATCTGCAACTCCACAAATCTCTTTGCCCAGATAAACATGGTGGAGTAAATAGTAGATGCTGATAAAGATGTGTTTGAGATTAAGGGGAAAAAAAGACATATCTCACACAAAATTCCCATGTGTGGCATTTTAAATTTTGTAATTACTTACTTGGTTTTATATTTTTGTGTTATACACCAGGAAAAGAAATACTTTTTTAAACTCATCAACTCAATATTTAGGACTGTATATAAATGACATTTAAAAATTTTCTCATTGTACATGGAAGGAATCTTAGTTCAAGGGAAAAACTAGCAAAACCTCTAGAAAGGACGACTTCTTTCCTCTGTGATATGAGTTACTGTAACCTGTAAGGCTAAACACAGAGAACTGAGATAATTGTGTTGGATTGCTTATGGTTTGGGTCTTTTAAAACAAAGCCATCAAGATGATTACCTTTCCCCTCTTCTTTGATAAGAAGAGAAATGTAAATCTCGATAGGAATGTCATATGATCTTAAATCAACCTCGACCTTAGCCTTAGAGCAAGTTAAACTCACTCCTTCATGCATATATTTAACATCCATGAATGCTAATCACATAGACTCTGTCTTCATGTAGGGAACTTGATTCCTTTGTGTGAAAGTAATACAAAAAATTAACCTCCTTCCTCTAGCTAAAATGTGAAAACAAAGGAAAAATTCAAGGTACACAAAAGCTCTTTAGGGCAAACAAAATCTATCTATAGAAAACAAAAAAGGGTTTTCACATCTATCTGTAGTGGTGTGTAAGATAGGAATCTGTCTCACAATGTTCTCTCCGGTCACTGCTAAGCTGGAAAATCTACCTAGAATTTTTTTTCTAATTAAAATTCTGTGTACCAACAATAATAGACTCTGCTGTGAAGCTTTTAATTAAACAAACAAACAAAATTATATAAATCCACATTGTCTCTCTGTGCTCTTGGTATTAAAGGATTAGACTGATGAGATGTTTGGATTTTATTGTTCTAAACATGTGTTTCAGTTGGTGCTCTCGGACCCACCATGTGAAGACAGTGAAATGTAAGTAAATATCAAGAAATTAAATGTTTTTCATTAGCATTTTCAAAATCTAAAGAATACAAAAGTCATTGGAGAAGCCCCAGATGAGTTGCAAATGATCATCGTAACCATTCAAGAAAAATAAAAGTGACTTGTTTTAAATGCAAATGGATCAATTGTACTAAAAGCAGAAAAGATGCAGTTTTATAAAGATCAGCTTTGTTAAATAACTGAGAGGCCTAGTTGATTTGTATAAATTTTTGCTCACTACATTCTCCACTCTTGAGATTTCAAGGGTTAAGTTCATGAAAGAATCACAAATTCATCTACGGCTGCACCCACACCTCTATGTAAGTAATAAGTCATATAAATGATGGGAGGCAACTTTCTGCATAATTCAGTTTCAAATACAAGCAAACTAACAACATTTCTAAACTGTACTATGTGTAAATTTCAAAGTGCTTTTGATATACAGTCATGGGCTGTTTAAGGACTAGGATACATTTAAAAAAATGCGTCATAGGGTGATTCATCATTGTGGGAACATTGTAGAGTGCACTTACATAAACCTAGATGGTCTAGCTTATTGCTCCTAGGCTACAAGCCTGCACAGCATGTTACTGTAAAAAACACGAGGTTAAATCAAGTATAAAAAAAAAATGATGCAATCAAGAGATGTAGTAAACACAAGATATATGAGGCTGCTGCCGGCATAAGACGGCATAGTTTTATAGCAAACTTCTTTTTTCATAAGTAGAAAGAGTACACTCTAAAATAACAATAAAAAGTATAGTATAGTAAGTACCTAAACCAGTAATAGAGTCGTTTATTATTATTACCAACTATCATGCACTGTACATAATTGTATGTGCTATACTTTTGTACGACTGGCAGCACATTTGGTTTATTTACACCAGCATCACCACGAATGCGTGAATAATGTCTTCTGCTACAACGTTATGAAGGCCACAAGGTCACTAAGCGATCGGAATCTATCAGCTCCATTATAACCTTATGGGACCACCATCGTATATATATGCAGTCCATTGTTGACCAAAAAGTTACTATGCAGTGCAAGACTATAAGATCTGAGAATAATTGGCTCGATTTTTTTTTTTTTTTTTACTTTTCCTGCTGTATATCTCAGAATCCTATCTGGGAGATAAGGAGGAGGTGCCATTAATAATGCTGCTGATGATTAATGTAATGCACTGTGACTTAGTGCAAGTGTCAGAAAAGCCCTTCTGCCAAGCAGTGTCTTCTCCTGGGTACCGCTCTTGCTGCCAGTGAGCCGTTTTCAGTATCATTGCCTGTTACCCTCAAGACCAGGGTCCCTCGGCAGTGCCTCCAGATTAAGAGGCCAGGGTAGGGGGATGCTTTTCTTGGCCCTGGAACCATTCACCTGTTTCAGGCAGGTCATCATCTCATTATTGATAAGCGGTTTGTGAAGGCTGTACCACTCTCTCCAGATTTTGCATGGCTCTGCATTGTTGTTTCTTTGCATTAATTCTGAACTTGTTTTTTTCTCTGTTTTCTGATGTTGGTGATGTAATGGACTTTTTGATTATTGGCGTGCTTACCTAACTTTGGACCTGAAGGCTACCTCATCTTGCTCCATCACTTTTGCTTTTGACCCAGAATAACAGAATAAAGAAATTTGTAATTGGAAAGGATGGTAAATATTGACTGTAACACTCCAATCAACATGACAGTAAAATACAACATTGAGGAACTTTATAAGCTGACTTTAGAGTCACCGAAGCTAGTGGTCTCCTTTTCGTGAAAAAACTGTGACCCAAAGAGGGATAGTATCAAATGAATTGCAGGACTTCAGCTAGTGCTTAGGCACAACTGTTTTGGGCTACGTCATTTTGTATGTAAGTTTCTGTGATATTTGTCATTATTTAATGCCACTGCTTTTGAGTAAAAACAAGAAACCACATCGAATAAAATGCAAATTAGCAGACGATAAATACAACAAAGGCAAAAAAAAAGTGGCAAAAAAGGTTTTGTAGGGAAGTGGTATAAAGTAACTACTCAAGACAGACACAATATCTCAACACTTTTTTTCCACCACAAAAAGGTGTTTGTGGGACATATTATTAGTTCCATTTAATAATTTTTTCAAATACAAAATGCTTTCTGATCTAACTTACTCCATTTATTTTTACAATAGCATTTTTTAGTATGAACAATATATTGCTGCACTGTTTTATATAAGAGTTAAACACTGTTAAATACTTTTGTGTATAAACCAAAACATGACAGAGCTCCCTTCCATAACTATACCCCTAATCCTTTCCTCTTCCCAGAAATAGCCAAGTACCCTGATGTACATATATGTACATAAGTAGGGTAATTTGCAAAACATATAAATATGACAATATACATACAGGATTCTGTAAATTGATTGTATTAATAATGAGAGATCACCATCTTACCTGGCTTGTAGAAGTTAAGTATTTTGCTCAAGAGTAAGCAAGTGAAAGGCAGAACTTGGATTTGGAACTAGAACTGACTCCTGAGCCCAAAATTGTCACTACAAAGCCATATTGTATATCTAATGTTTAAATAAAATTATACACCTGATAAAATACCCAAAGGATGTACAATCCATGCATTCTTCTAGGCACTATACAATTTATCCCTGAGTAATTAGGCCACCAGTCTCTGGATGATATGATTTGGCACACATTCCTCCCCCCAAATTATTATTGCTGAATTGCACTCTGGCCTATGTTAAGGGTGATTAAAACAAATAAAAGAGACCCATGAAGTTTGTTATTGCATTTATTCTAAGAGTACTATAAAGCCCCATATTTTGAATTTTTCTCTGGTTTCTGTACCAGGAATAGTTGTGCATCTGGTGAGTAAGCCTGCCTTGTTTTGTTACTTTTAGAGGACACTATCTGACCTCTAATTCTCTCTCTCATCCTATTAACTGCTAGAAAGCTTAAGCCAGATCTAGAATTCAGTTTTTATTTTACATATGGGATCTACTACATTCAGCTTACAAGCTGACCTCACTCTTGGCTTATTCTCTTTGTCTAATGCTCTCAATGTTCTCATTTCTAATTTTTGTTTGCATTTTTAATATTTCCTTTCTGGAACACAGGATATTGAACACATTCAGGCAATATTCCATACAGTAATAAGGGGCTGGAGCTGCCTTTTACTGTTCCCAGTTGCCGCGCTTTAAGGGTGGTAGGAGGCATGGACTCCACAGCCAGCCCCTCGGATTTAAAGTCTGCCTCTGCCACTTCCAGCTGTGTGATCTAGGGCAAGTTACTTAACCTCCCATGACTGAATTTTCTCAATTGTAAAATGAAGGTGATCATAGTGGGACCCTACCTGATGACATTATAATTTTGGAAGTAGGTTATGTTGCATGAAGTTATACAGCTGGTTTAAAGAATGTCTGACACAGGAAATTCTGAGTGATTGGAGGGGAGGAGCCGATGAAACAACTCTGCAGTTTGTTTCTTAAATGTATCAAAGTAACAAATTCGTAACTCATCTTAGGTCCACAGGTTCTCAGCATTGAGAAAAATAATAAAGATCAGCTAGTCTATCCATCCCTATACAGCAGAAACCATCTTCACAACACCCAAGTAAAGTAGGGCGCTGGTTGTTCTAGTCGGGATAGAAATGTATCTCCTTCAACAACTACTTCTAGAGAACTCTGATTATTGGAAATGTCTTTCTGAAACATATGGTCAGTTCTCACTTCTCCTGAATGCTTTTTCTTTCTGGCATCATTATCTCAATTTGACCAAGTATGTATAAATCCCTGACTAACTTCATCTTAAAAAATTTAACTTTTCCTACAGTGAAGATCTTACATCTAAAATTTGAGTAATTATACTATTGTTACAGTTCAGATACTGTTTTTTTTAATAACTCAAATAACTTCTGTTTAAGAATAGAACTTGAGAGAGATGTGGGAATAACAGTGGGGAGTGGAACACATAGGGTCAGGAGACCCATACTCTAGTTTAAGTTTTTTGGGCAGCTAGTGACCTCCCTACTTACGTTCCCACTCTGCATCTCAGCTGTAGAGTGTGTAAAATCCTAAGGGGGAAATAAATGATGCCAAAGGTGCTTGAAATTCCTAAGTTACATGATCATTTTACATTTCTCCAGCTAACTGCTTCCTGACCATTTTGTTGCATTTCAGAAACTTGAACAGTGAGTGCATAGGGTCACAAAGAGAAAATGAAGCAAGCCAGTTTGCATAACTGCTAGCACTGCATAAAATATTGAGTAGCTCAAAAATTAAAACTAGGAAATAAAATGAGGTAGTTAATATTTAGCATTGAATTATAATAAGTATAGGGCCCATTTTTAAATGTAAAGAAGAGAAGCGGAGATTTATAGATGGAAGGAAATAAAGTGGTTCACTCCTGGTCATGAGTTAGATTTCAAGGTTCAAAAACAAGAATATTTTGTTCCTTTATTAGGCTAAGTCACCAAGAAAAGTGTCCTACATCCATCTCTAAAGTGGGATACTACATTTTAAAGATTTTTATCTTTGTGATATAATATCTAAAAATTTTATGACTGCTAAAGTGATGTATGTACATTATAAAAATCCAAACAACATAGAAAGATGAAAAATAAAGTGCTTCACAACATCGTCTTCAAGAGAAACAAGCATTATTCACAATTTGATGTGTATGTGTATATAACTACAATACTTATTTCATGAAATCATTGTATTCATGTAAAAGGAAATATACACAAAATAGCATTGGGTTCCCTATATTATTTTACTTAACAAGACTTTTAATTGTAAATATAAATCTACATTTTTTGATGAATGAATGATATTCCTTTAAAAGGACGTGACATTAATTGTTTTTAAAATCCCTTATTGAGGAGCACTTATCTTAGGGTGCTTTTTAAAATCACAATTCAGCTGCCATTTTTTCCCAGCTATCTGTACTTCTAATACACCCCCCCCACCCCCCCCAAAAAAAACAAAACCCAAAATCTTACTGTCTGTGTGATTCACTGACTTTAAATATTTGGAGCAAAATCTTTAAATTGACACTTCACATGTTAAAAATTTCTGAAGATATGATGATATACAGGACACACTCCCTCCTTAGAGATGCTGAGAGCAATAAATTAGTTGACATTTATGAATGCTTTCAAGCTGAAATGCATTGAGTGTTATTTTAACACTTGTTGGAAAAGACCTGATTAAGTATAGCCCCATCTCAGAAGTTTATTGGGCTGTGATGAACAGGTTTCCACTGTTTTATACTAGAATATATTAACAGTGGCCCAGATATTGAGGAACAAAAAAAAAAGCCCATCAGCAAACATACATTCAATGATGCACTGTGTCTGGCATAGTGAGGGACTGGGATGAAAATCACACTGTGAAATTTATTTTTGTGTGATCTTTTTAAACTTAAAATGGTTGAGTTGTGCCTAGACATACAAAGATTTAACCATCCTTACTAAAGAGATCATCTTCTGACTTCTTAGTAAATGATGTGTGGCCACACTCATTCATTTTCAGTTTATCCTAACTTATTTCTCCAATCAGGATTACAAGCCAGTTGTTCCTTACCAAGACATTAAGAGTTAATAGATACCAAACCTTCCCTGGAGAATTTGCATGTTCAAGAACTCTAGGCCTCTGAATGAACAGAATAGTGGAATGGTTGTCTGTCTAATACCTAATACTCATGAATGCTAGCCCTGCAAAGTTAGTCACTACCTTCTTAATGCACAATAGTATGTGTAACTCGAGCATCAAACTTACTGCTATGCTATACTTATCTGTTTAAGCATCTGACAGTTTCACATTTACATGTATTCTCAGTTCCTTGAATGAAGTGGGTAAACATTTGCTTAATTTTGTTGGAAGGTTGCAGCAAGTAGGTGATTGTTAGGGAAGGAGGTGTGGTCAGAGCACATACTGTGGTCCAAAAGAACAGGCTTTGGCCATCTAGAGGTCCAACACTAACTGTTCTTTCTTTATCACTAGGTGCATAAATTATAAAGATCAATACCCAGATGACTGGTATATCTGGTAAGGACATCCTCACTTTGTTTTATAAAACCTTGGTGATAGATACATACTCCTTTTCCTAAGTAATTGAAATGGCACATGAAATCATACAGCTTAAGAAAATTTTAGGGTTCATGAATCAATATTTGTGAAAACATCATTTTCAGGATGTGTCTAGTATTTACTGAAACACTTTCTGTAACAGGAAACTCACTATTTTTAAGAATAATAGTTTATTCCTGACTTGAAAATCTGTAAAGGTAAAATAATTGTTCTTTCTCTTGATATCTCCTGAAATTCCTCCTTCACTGATTTTAGTTCTGGCCTTAAAAGCCATTCAACAGCCAGTCAAGATGGGGGAATAGGTAAACACTGTGCTTACCTTTCCTCACGGCCTCATCAAAATTATGACTAATCTACAAAACAACCATCATTGAGAATTGCCTGAAATCTTGGTGAACCAAAGCCCTACAACTAAGGACAAATGGAAGAAGCCACTTCAAGACTAGTAGGAGGGGGGCAGAGACACACCCACATGTGACCATTAAAATTGGAAGGGAAATCTTGTCTGCAGAGGTCTCCCCAGAGGAACAAGAGGTCCCAGAGATCTACCAGGCCCCACCCCACCGCAGGGTTCTAGTGCCAGGTAGAGAAGTCCCCATAATTTCTGGTTGTAAAAACCAGCAGAGATTATGGCTGAGTGAGACTGAGGGCCACTGGAGTCCCAGGGACTCCACATAAGGAGACCTGCATGGGTTGACTCACCAAAGAACTCACTGGCTCTGAGCTTTAGTGCTGGGGCAGCAGCAGGAGAGGCTATAGGAACATGTGGGGAGAAGTGAGGTCTGTTGTCCGGAGGAGGAATGGAGGGGCAGCTTTCTTTCCCTGATGGAGGACCTGGAGGAAGCCATTGTTTCTTTGTTGAGCCCTCCCCCTTCTCAGCATGAAGATGCAGGTGGCCCCTATATCTGAGTCTTTATCAAGCTTACTGACCTATTCAATCACTATGCCCTGGTGATTCTGAGACCCCACCCAACCAACTTTCGGGCACACCTAAGGTGACTCCAGTAGGTTTTTCTAACAAACCTCCTTCCTTCGCTCATGCTGCACACTTTCCTAGAGTCTCTCAAAGGTCTGCAGAACCCAGACAAGCAGCACCAGGCTTGAGTGTGTCCTTTATCTCTGGCTGAGCAGCACTAGGGCCAGCACTAGCAGCATCCAGCCTTGGTTCACAGCTTGGCCTTTCAAGGCACCTCAAGCGTGGTGTGAGTGGCTACCATCTGTGGATTGCTTTGTGGCTCCTTCCAGGTGGTCCCAGGTGGGGCACAGGCTGTGGTTGAACTTGACTTGCAGTGAGTTCCTTCCCAGGTGACCCTGGGGCTGGCATGACCAGTGGCCAGCTTTGAAATGTGCTGGAGCGTCACCCAGCCATCTCCAAAGACAACACACCCAACGGGTGGATTGGTCAGGTAGCAGAGCCCAGCTGAGGCAGGACCTCTCTGTAGGGTCAGGCCCTGTACCAGAACTCTTCCACTGTAGTTGTGGCCGGTCCTCACAACCAATCAGACTGAGGGTCAATCCCTGTCACTGATGCACAAACAGCAACAAAGGCTCAAGTACAATAGGAGGACATACAACACACACAACAGATGCACCTGGAGTGCACTGCTCAGGTGACCACGAAGACTGTACCCCTGAGTCCCACAGCACACCTACAACATAAGGCCTCTCTACTAAGATCAGAAGACATAGTAGCCCCACATAGAAACAAACACAGGGAAGCAGCCAAAATGGGGAGACAGAGAAACGTGTCCCAAATAAAAGAAAAAAACCAAGTTCCAGAAGAAAAAAAAAGAACGAAAGAAAGAAAAAAGAAAAACTAAACAAAATGGTGACAAACAATCTACTAGATGCAGAGTTCCAAACACAGGTTATAAAGATGCTCAGTGATCTCAGGGAGAACTTCAATAAAAAAATAGGAAACATAAAAATGGAGATAGAAAACAAAAAAGAACCTGTTAGAAATAAGGAATATAACAACAGAAATGAAGAATACATTACAGGGAATTAACGGTAGATTAGATGAAGCAGAGAATCAAATTAACAATTTTGAAGATAAAGTAGCAGAAAACACCCAGTCAGGCAACAAAAAAATGAGGAGAGTTTAAGGGGCCTCTGGGACAACATCAAACATACCAACATCCTTGTTATAGGGGTACCAGAAAGAGAAGAGAGAGAGCACGGGATTGAAAATCAATTTAAAGAAATAATGACAGAAAACATCCCTAACCTGGCGAAGGAAATCAATATAAAAGCCCAGAAAGTGCAGAGAGTTCCAAACAAGATTAACCAATAGATGTCCATACAAAGACACATCATAATTAAAATGCCAAAGGCTAAAGACAAAGAGAGAACCTTAAAAGCAGCAAGAGGAAAGCAGTTAACTAACTCCGTACAAGGGAGCTCCCATGAGACTGTCAGCTGATTTCTCAACAGAAACTTTGCAGTCCAGAAGGATTGACATAAAATATTCCAAGTGATGAAAAGCAGGGACCTATAACTAAGACAACTGTACCCAGCAAAGCTATGATTTAGATTTAAAGGACAGATAAAGAGCTTCCCAGACAAGAAAAAGCTAAGGGAGTTCATCACCACCAAGCAAGTATTACAAGAAATCATAGAGGGGCTTCTTTAAGATTAAAAAAAAAATTAAAATATGAATAATAAAAAGGCAATAACTACGTACCTATTGATAACTACTTTCAATATAAATAGATGAAATGCTCCAATCAAATGATAGGAGGGCTGAATGGATAGGAAAACAAGACCCCTTACATGTGCTGCATACAAGAGACTTACTTCAGATTGAAAGGCACACACAGACTGAAAGCAAGGAGATGGAAAAAGGTATTTCGTGAAAATGGAAACAAATAAACAGAACGCTTGAATAGCAATACTTATACCAGACAAAATAGACTTTAAAACAAAAACTATAACAAGAGACAAAGAATTATCTAGTAATTCCACTTCTGGGTATTTACCCAACGTAACCCCAAATTCTACTTTGAGGGGATGTGCTCATCCATATAATTATTGCAGCATTATTTACAATGTCCAAGATATGAAGGCAACCTGGATGTCCCTGAATGGATGAGTGCATAAATAAGAGATGATACATATATATATATAATGGAATATTACTCAACCATGAGAAAGAATGAAATCTTGCCATCTGCAACAACATGGATGGACCTAGAGTGTACTGTGCTGAGTGTAGTAAGTCAGGCAGAGAAAGGCAACTGTCATATGATTTTACTTATAAGTGGTATCTAAAGAACGAAGCAAACAAACAAACAAACAAAACAGAAACAAACTCATAGATACAAAGAACATTTTGATGGTTGCCAGATGGGAGGGGGCTAGAGGTGGGAGAAAAGGGGAAAGGATTAAGAAGTACAAATTGGTTGTTACAAAATAGTCATGAAGATGTAAACTAAGGCATAGGGAATATAGTCAATAATATGGTGACAACTATGTATAGTGCCAGGTGGTCACTAGTCAGGGGGATCACTTTGTAAATTATATAAATGTCTCACCACTATGCTGTACACCTGAAGTTAATATAAAATATTATTGAACATCAACTGTAATTTAAAAAATTCAAAAGGGGAATAAGAGGTTCAAAATTCCAGGTATAAAACAAATATGTCCTGGGGATGTAATGTACAGCATAGGAAATATAGCCAATAATATTGTGATAGCGTAGCACAGTGTCAGATGGTTGCTGGACTTAACATGGTGATCACTTCTTTAGCATAGGGCACATAATCAATAACATGTTAATAACTATGTATACTGCCAGGTGGGTACTGTTGAATAACTATTGTGTATACCTGAATCTAGTATAATATTGTATGTTCACTATATTTAATAAAAGTCTTTAAAAAATGAAAACAAAATAAAAACTCTTACTCCCTCCCAAAAAAAGCCATTCAAAATAAGACTGCTACTTCTTTTACCAGCTAGTCTTTTAGAAAGTTTGAGAGTCCTTATAACTTCCTAAATGTTGACCTCCCGATTTTCCAAACTAAACATCACCAATTTTCTCAGTTAGATAGCTCCTCCAAGACAGAAATTATGTCTTATCTTGTCAAATTTTGAACCCCCAACCCCAACATTTAAAATCTGCTCTGTTTCTTAAATACCAGTTGAATCAATGGATTGGTGGCTGAATGAAAGACATAACACATAATGATCTAAACAACCATGACACTGCTCTTTAGAACAGACCTCCAATTGCCAAATAGGAAACAATTGTGATCGCCTGGCAAGACAGACACACTCTGAGCTCAGCAACCACTCTAGGTGCAGTGAAAATGTGTTAGTGGTGAGGCATTGCTTCAGGAATTCAGCCTCCCAGGTTGTTTGTGGTCAGCCTTGCTGAGTTCTTGCCCCTCTTAACTTTCCTGCCTGCTCCACCTCATTCCTCCCGTTTCTTGCGGCCTCAGGCTCCTGCTACTGATTTTTCTGATGGCCCTGCTCTGTGGAACAGTGCTCTGCTGCCTCCATTGCTGGCTGAGGAGATGCCGAATTAGTTGCGCAAGACGCACCATGGCTGTTTTCGCTGTTGGAGACTTGGGCCCTGTGTATGGTAAGCTCTCTGCACACGTCTGGACTTCCTCTTTGAAACCTTATGGTTTTGTGGTCCATTAAAAGGTAACCTCTGAAAAGCAGATTTGTGAACTTACAAGATATTTATTGAAGGCTCAATGGCACACATTGGAGACAGGGTCTAAGTGAGAAAACTTCCAAAGAAAGGAGAACTCGAGAAAAAAAAATGTGTCTTGGGGAAATGACTTCCAGTTGAGTACGAGGATAGAATCTAAACATTTTGCTCAGTCGAAGAAGAGAAGAGATATACAGGGCTACTCACTGCAAGTGAGTGGTCAGGGTTAAGGTGCAGAAAAGTGCCTCTGACGTTTTGATATCGCTGCATCCTACCATGTGTTCACAGGCTCATTATTAAGCTCTCTATCCCTCCCTTTTCTGCAGTAACTTGGAACAACACTTTCCAGATTGTCCATTGCCAATGCAGAGTCTAAAACGCTTGGAATTGGGCAAGGAGGTATCGATACTCATGTTTTGTTTCTCCCCAGACACATCAGCAGCTTCCTGCACTTCCTATTATTTTCCAGTCTGCATCAGGAGGTAAAGAACGGAGAAAATGGAGGTCTTAGAGTTATTTGTAACTGCCAAGCATTGTCCCTCTTAGGTACTACATTCTATACCATGGTTGCCTCAAGAGCGCTTCTTAGAGATTAACAGCTGCCCTTCAGAAATTTGGGCCAGACACGATTTTCAATAGATGGAACAGCGCCTGTTCTAGAAAAAACTAACAGCTAAATAAAAAGTGCGGAAAAAATAAACTAAAAAGTTATAATATTAAAACTCATTACTCTAAGATTTAGTGATTATGTTATTCATTATTGACTTTTTAAAGTCATTATTTAACAAGGGAAACACATTGTCGGTTTGAGAAATGGTTATTTAGGGAAAGATAATTAAAATCTCCATTGAAAATAGTTCTTCCTCCTACAATCAAAAGTACTTTTCACTGAGCACAGAGGGAAATACGGACACTGACCTTCTAACAAAATACACAAGTCAAAGGGATTAACACGATTGCCTTGGTCTATTTTTCTTAACTAGAGGTATTTAATAAACAAATGCAACTATGTTCTTTTCAATTTGACTTGAGTTTCTAAAGAGGAGAATACACTCTGGTCCTTTTAGCCTTCCTCTTACCCTAAGGAAGATTTTCTTAGACTTCCTTATAATCTTTAAAAAAAAATAAATCTGTTTTTAAGTTTAAGTTACCCACTTATACTGTTATAATTTTAAGGCAATGTTTGTGTCATGGTTATATTCCCAGCCATCTAATGCTTTCATATTTTTTGGGTGGTGGTTTGCATACATGCTTTTGAATTTTCCTGCACAGGTGTATGAGTGTGAGGGAAGGGGCCAAAGCTGATATGGAATTTCAATAATCTGCAATAGCACTGAGTGAGGGCATTAGAGTCTCATTCTCTCTATTACCCTGAAGTCATTATGGACAGGAAAAGAAAATACTTAGGAGGAAATTGTTTTTTTTTAATAATATAGCCACAATTTATTTCACATCTACCAAGTGCCAGGCATTAGGTCAAGGGCTTTTCAAATATTATCATCTCTAATTCCTAAATACTAACTTGGAAAGTGGCTATTATTACTTCTCTTAGAGGATATTGATCATTTTTCTCACTCTACTGGATAAATACACCACACAAATCTTTGCTGCATGTCCACTAGTAGACTTCAAACTGTCCAGAATTGAGGGTAGGAAGCCAAAAAAAATTTGGGCAGGGCATTCATGGCTTCGCCACCTCATCATCCTTTGACACAAATACAGCCTTATACCCTGAACCTCCAGACAATTCTGTATTGCGATTCCTTAATGGTAATAGAGCTTGCTCTCCAGAATTCTCATTCCCTTTTTTATTCTATCAGTTGCTCTTCAATTCCACTGGTATAGTTCTGGATCTTATTTTGGGCAAGAAACATTTAAACTCTCCCCCAGCTTAAGTTGTATTACAAAGTTCACTTTTATTGATTTCCATCTTAGAGACCAATTTCAGTTGCCCTTTCCCATTTATTTTTTCCTTCACCACCCTGGCTTGGGTGGTAGATTATCCCAGGGGTCAGCAAACTGCGGCTCGCGAGCCACATGCTGCTCTTTGGGTACGTACTGTTCCATCTCAAAAGTGTGCTGACCCCTGGAACAGCCAACCCTGTCCCTCACAACAATTTAAAAATTATTTGAGACCCATAAATATATTTTTACATAAGCATCATCCTGTGAATAATAGCCTTTAAAAATTGTATAAATGAAACTATTATAGTTTTATTTTCATTTTCAATTTTACTTCAGAGCCTCATGTACGTAACCAAAGAGCCGCCTGTGGCTTGCGAGCCGCAGTTTGCTGACCCCTGGCGGCTCTACCATCTCAAAAGCTTGCCACGCCTGGGTTATCCCATCCACTGCCCGTCTCCCGTCTTGCCCCTGGGATGCTCAGGATGGCTGTACAGGCAGGGAGCAGCCATGCACAGAGCCTTGGGTGTGGATGTGGCTCCCAGAATTGTGCTTTTTGGCATTTTTCCTTCTCCTAGCTAAAACAAAATATAAAAGGGTAATTTAAGAAGTGGTATTCTCTGTGATCTCTAGTCATATCTTCTTAGCTAGTGATTACTTCTGGAAGTAAATGCCAGGGCGGCAATATTTGAAGGCAGCCTGGAACCCAGACCCACACTGGATTCCCTTTGCCCACTGGCTCCTCATTCTGCTTTCACTTCTCCAGACAAATGATTCTTCCTACCTAATGTTTCCATAAAAGGAGCTGCTCCCCAAAAGGGAAGTGAGGGAACCACTACAAGATCTTTTTATGACTATAGAGCGAGGGAAGTGGCAAAACAACAGGCATCCTACCTCCATAGACCCCACAAAGCCTGTGCTCACAGCTTGAATTTGAGTCCAGTTCCTGCTGGCTTCACAGGCCCACTCTGCAGGTCATGGGGTTGCATTTCTGCATCTTCTCAGTCACTATTCAGAAAGAGGAAAGCAAAATGACAACTCACTTGAAGACACTGGTGATACATTAGAATATGAAATAGGGTTTTGGACTCCCTGCTACTCCTTGCGGATAATAGGTTGTTCCCTCCTGAATACAGAATGTAGGAAATGGGGTCAACGAAAACATTGTAATGGAGAAACAAGGTTTGCTATATTAACCTTGGGTTCTTCCTAAACCTTTATTTTATTTCCTCAGACCTATTTCATGTTATCATCACGATTTGCTGAACCCACTAGTCGAAGCAGCTCTGCTCTTCTGACCCATGGGTCACAGGTTTGACTCTCGGCACCTCACAGAAGCTGCCTCAGCTAAGAGCCAAGAGGAGAATTTCGACTCTCAGAGGCTGGAGTAGACTGAACTTTACTGATGTTAAAATACATAAGATAGGACATTTCTCTCACTAGCAATTCCTGACAATATTACATTGCTCAGGTTGCTAATTATCTTAAACATGTTAAAGAGAGAAAGGAAAATATTTGTCTTGGGAAGCCCTTGTCAGCCCAGCCTATCTGAATGTCTGATGAGATTTCTGTCTGAGAAAGGTCCTTGGAAATCTCAGCCAAACACCCAGCCCTCAGTAGCATCTCCTGGGCCAATCAATAATCATGCCTTTTTACAGTTCTCTGCTGATCTGGCACTCAGGTTAATCAGTTCTTCTCCCGCTCTCATGGGATCTACGTTTCCATGTCCATAACATGTTATAATGAAGCTCTCTTTATGCACCAAAGAAGCGAGGCATAATCTCTCTGATACCCCATGCCATGGAGAGTAAGCAGGAAAAGGAAGTACTACTAGAGAAAAAGGCAAAGAAAGACCAGAAGGATGTCAAGAAGGGAGAAGAGAAGAGAAAGGATGAAAAGCAAGAGAAGGACACTACAGTTTGAAGTTGACTATATTAAGAACTACCAGTTAAAACTTATTTATTTTATAGAAACCCTAAGATTATGTTATTTTGTTCTGCTTAGGCTTACCTCCTCCTCCTAGACCCAGCCGCAGGGTCTCCTAGACAGGCCCTTGTTCCCTTATTATCCTGCCTCTATCCACAAATCATCTTGATCTAGTTTTCCCTGACCATCTGCACTCTTAACTTCAGAAAGGGCCCGTTCACTGTTTTGTGTCTTCTTGACTGAGGCCTTCTATGAAGTGGTCTCTGAGTCCTTCTTGCTCTCGTCTCTCAACTATCAGGGACTGACGATTCTAATACCATTCAGGTGTGTTTTGTTTGTTTTAGCACTTATGTAAGTAATAAAAATAATATAGTGTTTCAATGGTTTTTTATCTTATTATATTATCTATGTTAATGATGCTTCTGGGATCCCTCCTTTCTGATAATTCAACAGAAAACACAGGAGATTTGCAACCATTTTTTTCCCACTCAAATGTGTAAATGAAGAGTGAGAACACATACTAGGACACAGAAAGTAAATTTTTAGAGGAACACATGAACATTTTTAGTAAAGGTGGGGAAGGAAGAAGAAAAAAAAATCATTAAAATCCTCAAGCAGCCATTTGTATCTTAAACCTCTATCATTTGTGATCGACACTTTCTACTTCATAAGACCAAGGACTATGTCACAGGGTGACTAGGTAGAAAACACAAGTGATTTAAAATAGAAGAAAAGAAAAAAGTTTGGGATTTGTTAGGTTAACTTTTTATTTTTTCCAATTTGTATTTGAAAAAAATAAGTAATGATGAAGGAATCATTAAATGGGGTTTTAAAGTTTATTATAAACATGTTTCTATAATTCACTGAAAATATAGATGATTATGTTTCCTTTGAAAATAAGGTTGTGAAGCCTTTAATGTTAAAGAGATACGATATCTAAAGAGAAAGAGAAAGAAATTTTGGGTTTGGGAGGTGAGAGAAGGACAAAGGGCTTGAGGCAGAAAAATAATCTATTGTTCATAAAGAAAGAGAAAATCTGAGAACCTAAGAGAGGGATCCCTGCCATTATCTCTTCATATTTTTTAACAAAAAATAAAAAACTTGCCATCAAACCTACATTGAATCCTTTCTTTCTATTTCACATAGATAGAGCTGGGTCCCCTCAGCCCTAACAAGACAGCAAGCAGGCCCCACGCCTTTTCTGAGGAGACCTTGAAGTGAGAGTCTGCCTAGATACCCCTTCTGAGAACATTCATTTTGGCTTAGCTTCTCCTCAGGGCTGATCTCTCTGATAATGCTGCCTTTCCACTATCCAATCTCTCTGACCCCATTTGTTGTGCAATTTCAAAGATAACCTTCCTTTTCCTTATTCCAGGGCAATAGAAATACTAGTCTTCCAGCAGTGATTAAATGTGAATACTCCAAGTTAGGGAGAGGAAGGAAAAAAACTAGAGACACTGGTAGGAGCAGGCCCTGACTTTCCTGCTTCCTTCTCCCCTCACCTCTCCAAGGATCCTGTCTTATCTAGGATCCTTTTTGAAATGCCATTTCCCTATATCTTATGTTCTACATGCAAATACTCTGTGACTCATTTAGGTAAGGAAAGAGGGTATTTTATTCAGACACTTTCGAGGAAGGGCACGATAATTGTAATTACTCACTCACCTTTATTGAGCATTTACCATGTGTCATGCTCTGTGTTAACACTTGACATGTCTAATCTCTTTTGTTTTTCCCTAAGCTTCTATGAGGAGTTCACTGTCATTCTGAACACTCTAAAGATGATGGAACAAAGACACTTAGAGATTAAGCAACACAGTTAGTGTGTGGTAGCATTTTTAGCCACCCCAATATAAGATAAAAGGATGATATATAGAAGGGAGAAAATCAGAAAGGACATGTTAAAATAAGCTAAGTCCATTGGAGTGATTCTTAATGGTGTGGTAAATCTGAAACCTGGCTATAAAAACTCAGCAGTGAGTGTATTGGTTTTACACAATTAAACCACACACTCTAATATATTCACCAACAATTCTGTCAAAGCCATAGCATTTTTGCAGGCATTTTTAACTGAGGTCTCTCAGGTTCTTAATTTGTCAAAAGATAAAAATAATGCTTCCTCCCTTCCCAATCACATGATATTATATGTAAACATGCTTTGGAAAAATTTAAAACTGGCATATGTTCAACTTTACAAAAGCTCTCTGAGCACATTGGCTTATTATGTTTATCAAATGAATGCCTTGTGGTTCCCATAACAAGTTTAAGAACAACGGCCAAATTTTTAGTAAGGAGATAACAAAACATTCCTACCACAGAGAGCAATTGTCAATATTCTCTTGCCTGGAGCACAGTATTGATGAGGGCACTGGTGGAAATACATTTGAGCTAATAATTGTGTCAAGTCAATCTGATTGAGGACTCTAGGCAGAATGATAGCTAAGTTACCATCGACTTTGTTTGAATAATTAGGAGCAGTTCACCTAGAAAATGGGTGGTGCTTAGTACAAGTATCCACAAGGGAGAGAAATACTGGGGCAAGTACACTTGACCCATGTTAACTCTATTTTATCAAGTTCCTCAGACTTAGCTTACGTCATCCTAAACTTCCTAACTGCAAAAGACTGTAACTCCACAAATTTTTTCACTTAATAATCTCTGTTATAACATTAATAATAATGATTAAAATATTTTTGACCATTTAAAATAGGATAGATTGAGAAATAATATTGTAAATAAAAGAAAATATGCATATTTCTAGCATAGTACCATTCTTGATATATAGTAATAATATAATATTTATACAAATAATAATGATAATTAACCATTAATGGGTAATTATTGTGCGCTGGGCTTTGTTTGAAAAACTTTACATTCACTTAACCTTGGTTTTATAGATGTAGATACTATCATTATCCTTTTATTGCACAAAAGAAAACAGAGGTACAGAAGGATTATGTAACAGCCTAGGAATAGATTTTTCATTTAAATAAATAACTCCTTAAGAAAAGTGCTGAACCAGAAGGTGTGACATATTCTAAAACAGCTCTACCCTTTACATATTACATTAGTATTTAAATTATTATGGTTTGCTCTGCAAACCAGTGAGATATGAGATAAGACAAATGTAAATATGTGGAACTCCATGATTCTAAATAAACACTATCCATTCCCAAGTAATAATGTTGAGTAATCTAAAAATGGATTCCAGCAATGCAGCTATTGCCTAATATGTAAAAACTGAATTATTCTGAAAATTGTGACATGGTCTTTGGAATTTCCTCGATGGTTTCCAATCTCAATCCTTTAAGGAAGTGGTCAGCAAACTTTTTATATTAAGAGCCAGATAGGAAATATGTTTGGCATAGGAGGCTGTATAGTTTATGTGGGACTACTCACCTCTTCCACTGTAATGCAAAAAAAAAAAAAAAAAGCCAGAGTCAATGTGTAAATGAATGAACATGGCTGTGATACAATTAAATTTAATATACTAAAACAGCCAAAGGATTGACTGCTTAGTTTAAGGGCTAGTTTCTTCTTTAAAGGTGAATTTACTATTGTTTTGGGAAGAAGCAAACAAATAATTCCTGGTAAAAACCCAGGTGAAAAAAATGAAAAAAAATATAAAGAGAGAAATGGTTATAAGATATTACTATTGATTTCCTGTGACTCAAAACCAATCTTTCAAGGAAATACTAATGGAAGATTTCCAAAAGAGCTATTGGAATAAGTACATGGTCTCTCAAGGTGATCAGTTTAGGAATAAAATGATTATTTTTGATACTTAATGGCTTGTAGTATATACAATCTACAAGTCAAGAACTTTGATTCCAAAATTTAAGAATGCCTTTTCTTTAATCCATGTGTATACTTTAATTTTAAATGTTTCACAACTTAACATTTTACGATTCATAATAGAGAATTGGTTAAAGTAATTAATTGCATTAGTTGTAGTTTTCAGAGCATACATATAAACTAATGACATTCAAATGTTTGTTTGTTTCTAGTGAGAGTTGAATTGTCCATGACGGGAGCATTCATGTTAGTAGGACTCTTGTCTTCTGATCTACAAAAAATAATATCCCTTCTAGTTTTAGCTGCTAAATTGTAAATGCTTCTTGATGGGTTAGTCAATGATGATGTACAGGAGTCCCCCTTATCCATGAGGGGTATGTTATAAGACCCTCCCTCCCCAGTAAATGTCTGAAACTGCAGATAGTACCAAACGCTACATATGTTGTTTTTTTTCCTATACAAACATACCTATGATAAAGTATAATTTATAAATTAGACACAGTAAGAGATTAACAACAGTAATAATAAAATAGAACAATTATAACAATATACTTAATAAAAGTTGCATGAATGGTTTTGGGGCCATTATTAAGTAAAACAAGGGTTACTTGAACACAAGCACTGCAATATTTTGAGAGTGAATCTAATAACCAAGATGGCTACTAGGTGACCAATGGGCAGGGAGCACATACAGTGTGAATATGCTGGAAAAAGGGATGATTTACATCCAGGGTGGGATGTAAGGGATGGCGTGAGATTTCATCACACAGAACAGCATACAATTTAAAGCTTATGAATTATTTATTTCTGCAATTTTCCACTTTATATGTTTGCTCCTGGTTGACCTCGGGTAACTGAAATTGCAGAAAGTGAAACCACAAATAAGGGGGACTGCTGTAATGAGCTCTTGAAAGTAATTTTTCTTGCCATAGTGACTAGGACAATGTTTTTTCCTTAAGTGTACAAATAATTTTCTGTTGCTCCAGTGATCCAAGAAATGTCACATTTTACTAGGAACTTCATGTGCATCTGTTTTATGCTGAGTAGAAAGCTTACAAATCCCTATTTTGTCTTTCCAGAGACAGAAGCAGCTGTGGATTCAACTGTTGGGATTCACCTTCAAACTCAAAACCCTGAATTGTGCCCTGTTCCATGTTTCAGCAACTTAGGCCCCCCACCTCCATATGAAGAAATTCTGAAATCAAGCCGATTTTAGATCTGGATCATCAACTGAAAAGATTTTTTAAGTTCAAAACATCAAATTTTGGAACAATTTTTTCATTTAGTGGGAATTCTCAAGGATCAATTAATGGAGCCTGCATAACGACAAATAGAGAAGACTAAGCCTAAGGAAAGGGTTTGGGTCAGGAAGATGTTTCAGTAGTACGTTAGTGGTTAAGCATTGCTGTGTTATACTTTTGTGCTATAGGGCTAAGTTAATGCCTTTCCATCAGTACTCATATAGACAGTCATTAATAGGCAGAGTGGTCTCAATTAAGTTTATGATTCTATTCCAGCACACATCACCACTATCTCTGCCTCGATATTTCCATTGTAGTCTGAACTCTCCCCTAATACGGAGTCAATGAAAACTATCATAATTTAGCAATGATCCAAACAGAGACTCAGACTTGACCAGAACTAGAACCAGAAAGAGAAAAACAAAAAGTTGCATTAATTCCTCAAAAATGGTTAAGCCTTGAATAATGCCAATAATTAATATGAAATTTTAAAGTGGGTGTTACTCATATTGACAAGCTAGACAGAGGGGGAAGTGTGTATGAAAGAGGGTGGCAGGATAGAATAAGAAAGCTAAATCCTCATCTCAGATTGTGGGAAGTCAATGAATAATATCTAAAATTAAAAGAAAAAGTAAGAAATATTGGTAAAGTACATCATTTGGAAATTAGGTCACAAATGTCTGAAGTGAAACACTAAAGAGTTGAAAATGATTGTCTCAGGCTGGCTGAGTGGCATGAGAGAGCTGGCTTGGGACGCCAGAGGGCCCGGGTTCGGATCCCACATATGAGAGCCAGTGACACTGCCCTTTACAAAGAAAAAAAAAAAAAAGAAAATGATTGTCTCAAGAAATAAGACTTAGAGATAATGCTATGTGGGGTTAGGTAGAGCAGTATAGTTCTTGTTTTTATCGTGTCTGTAGTAGTATTGGACTTTTAAAACTAGATGCATGCATTACTTTAATAAAAAGAAATATAAAGTTAAACAGATAAATGTTTGGCAAAGTTATAGCTTGCAATTGCAAGCAAACAAAGAAAATTATACTAAAAGAAAAATAAAATGTTAAGCACAAATATCTTTAAGTGGGGAGGCTACAGGTGATTTAATTTTTTATCCATGTTTCTGAATTTTTGTTTATAGCCTATAAGTTATCTATATTAAAATCCATTCCAATTGCAGAACAGGCAGTGATTATAATTTAAACCTAGAAAAATGCAAGCATATCTGGAAACGGGCTAATGATTCAGCAGCTGGTGTTGGCAGAAGTTAGTGAAAGTCCCGGTTGAAGTGATCGGAATTTATTTCTAAGTGAGTTGCATTCATGTGTCAGGGCAAGTCTAAGCAAACTACATGCTTGGCATGTGACTGCTTCGTTTACTTATAAGGATTGGAGAGGGAGCATGGGGATAGGGTTTAGGCAGGTGGGGAGGACTGATAGAAAAAGAGTTTGTTTTCATAGAAATTTTTTCTGACAAAGATTTCTTATCAAATACCACAGGTTGCATTCTCATTTATTGCCTAAGAAATACTTAGTGAATGACTACTATATGCCAGTTATTGTACAAGGTCTGGATATATTTCTCCAACAAACTCAGTATTATTTTTAATGATACTAGAGTTTCCACCACTTTGCTCTGACCTTCAGACAGAGACTTAAAAGTTTTGTAGCACATGTTCTTTAAGGTCCACAGAAAACTACTGTAAACATCGATGCAGCTGCTACGAAAGACAGCGTGGGGTTCTTCAAAAAATTAAGAATAGAATCGCCATAGGACCCAGCAATCCCTCTCCTGGGCATCTACCCAAAAATCTGAAAACATTTATCTGTCAAGATATATAGTCTCCGATGTTCATTGAAGCTTTATTTATGGTGGCCAAGTCATGGAAACAACCAAAGAGTCCTTCCATAGATGATTAAAAAGAAGATGTGGTATATATACACAGTGGAATACTATTCTGCCATCAGAAAAGATGAAATCATGCCATTTGCAACAACATAGGTGGATCTTGAGATTATTATGCTAAGTGAAATAAAATCAGACAGAAAAAGTTGAGAACCATATGATTTCACTGATATGTGGTATATAAAACTGAAAACAACAACAACAAAAAAACCAAGAAAAACAAATGAAAAAACAAAAACTCATAGACACAGGGAACAGTTTAGTGGTTACCCGAGGGTAAGAGGGGAGAGGGGATGGTAAATGAGGGTAAAAGGGATCAAATATATGGTGATGGAAAGAGAACTGGCTCTGGGTGGTGAACACACAATGTGATATATAGATGTTGTATTACAAAATTGCACACCTGAAATCTATGTAATTTTACTAACCATTGTCATCCCAATAAACTTTAATTTTAAAAAAGAGAAAAAAACCTGCAAACAATGCAATAATAAAACTAACTTAGATTATATGATTATCATGACATTTAAAAAAGGAATTAAAAGAGATAAACCTGTGTTCCTTTTCTGTCATCTGATCTCTGTGAATCTTTGCCTGCATCTTAGTTCATCAATAAATTGTTAAAATTCTATTTACCATGGTGCCTCAGATTTTAATTTTGACAGGACTAGATTTTTTTTTTTCCTTCCCATGTTAAAGGACATCCATTTTTTAAATGAGGTTTACTTAGGGCTAAATAAAGGGTGTAGCTTTTTCTTTGAACATCCAGCAGAGGGCATGAAAGCCTATCTGTGATTCTAGCCCATTAATTAGCTAGATTCGATTTAGTGGATAAATGAAACCATGAAGCTGGGTTACCAATGATATCAGAATTTTGGCAGATCCTAAGACAGTAGATAATAAGATTCAAATTTGCAAAGAAGAATCAAGTACTTGAGCTCATGTTGCTCACAGTGAAGCTGAGCATCAGATTAGATGCTTGCCATCAGAGAGTCTAGAACATTTGAAATATCCTCACACTTCTTAGGATGAGATTTGTGAGTTTGAGTTGCCTGCGAAAGGCAGGGTAATTTATATACACAAGGCTCATATGATATGTCACCTCTACAGCAGTGACCCTATAGGTCTAGCCTATTTCTTTTTTACCTGACCACAATTTCCCATTTAATTTTCAGTTTTGAAGTTGCATTTTTTTCCCTTTGCGTTAGGAGCACAACTTTTATAAAAGACAACTTTAAAATTCAATATCTTTCACAGAAATGAAATGGAGCTGGCATAAGACTGAATCACATTCACGTAGACAATGAAATGAAACTCAAGCAGAATATTATATTTAAGGCAATATGTGAAATACTTCAGGTAGTATAAGAGAAAATGAGACAATGAACATGTGTTGGCTAGGAGACCCTACTTTCAATAGAGAATGATTTTTTAAAATCAGAATAAAGAAAATATAATATTCATTCCAAATGAATTTTTTACTTTTAAATTTATTTTGCTTTGTAATTTTATACAAAATAAATCTAAACAGTTTTTTTTACGTTTCTATTTAATACTGGATCCTGGAAAATAGTATTTTTTTGTTATTTTATTAAATATAGTTCTGGGAAAATGGAATAAAAGTAATATCCGTTTACAAAATGGAATACTATGGTGATAAACAAAATTTATTTATATTTGCGCATTTAGAAAATAGTTATTTTCTTCTAAAATTATGTCATTCTACACCTACTCTCTGACTCATGAAGTAAATCATGTATCAGATTCTTATTGTCAGATTCTTATTGAATAAGATGAAAATGGTATTGCTCAGAAGCACTGAAATTATCAATAAATGCAGATTTCTTAGTTTTTTATATTGCTTATGGGAGGGGGTTTCTCTTTGGAAAATCTGTTTAAGGAATGCAATAAGCAAAACTAAGAACATTTCCCTTCCTTTAGTAATTAATATAATTACATATCTCTATATTTAATAAATAGTCATTTTTATTTTTCCCATCAGATCTGAAAACTGAAGTCATGTGCAATTCAAGTTATGCTCTCTTTTATGCATCTAAATCTGGATAAATTTATGCTGTTTAAGAGTCTTGGGTACTACTGACTAATTGCCTTCAAGATTTAGAAGCACTGTAGCTATTTTTTTTTCCCCAAGAATTTTAGAGACACAAAATAAGAAAGCCTAGGGTTTTGTTTTAAATAATCAGTGGAAGACTGCATGCTTACCCGGTATGTGGAATGCTTGTCACCTGTGACATGACCAACAAACTAAATCAGTTCATGAGGAGAATTGGATGAAGGGATGGGATGCCAGTCTCTTAAGGATGACAATACATTACTGGGGTGATAGGTCTTTCTGTAGATATAAGGATTTTATTTTAAAGAAGAGTATGTGGTTGAAAGGAATGCTTTAATAAGCTGGTAAACATATGGGGCAGCTACCTAACAGACACAATAATAATAGATGGTCACCAAAAACGGTGATTCTGTGTAACTGCAGGGCTCTTGTTTTGTTATTTGAGGTATATAGTTTGAGACCAGAACTAAATTGTGTAAGGCTCTAGCGGAGCATTACTTCTATATATAAAGTTTTACTATAATTTTATAGTTATACTATGATTTTACTATAATTTTATTAGCACAATGAGTGGGATCCACTGAGAAGGCAGTAAGACTTGGCATTATGTTCAGAATGGCCATTACTGGAATATTAACTTTATGTGTTAATGTTAACTTTTAGCTCCCTGATTTTTATTTTCCAATAATGCTTTATTTTCCTTAGTTTTTCTTCCTTTTGGCTTTGTCTGGTTTTGACAAGTTTTGCTGGCTGCTTCAATTTCTGCTGTATTATTAACCAAGTTAGCTTGTTTTGTTTTTTGTTTACTAATCTTGAAGCTTTTCCCTTCTCCAATAAAATAGATTTCCTCTGTGATTTTCTCCTCTAATCAATACTTTCCATTCAATAGCTTTAAAAAACAAAGGCATTGCACACTATTTGTTTTAATTTAGTAAAAAGAAAACTATGATTTGTAAGTAGAGCATCTCTCAATGCCTTTCCCCAATTCTCTGAGCTACAATTTGCATCCAAAAACTTAATTTAGAAAATAACAGAAAAGTTTGATGATTTCAACCATCCTCCTCAGCTTTCCACCTATATCCATCCAGCCCCTCCTCCAGAAAACTCAGTAAATCAGGTAAAGGGCCAGGTTTTCTTGGTTTCACCTTTCTTTACCTATACCTGTATGAAGGCTGTTTCACAAAATTTCCCCTTTCCTTTTTTTTAAATTCCATTTTCCTTTTCAACTCGTTTTTCTCACTCCCGCTACCCACCCCAAGTATTATCAACAAAGATTTAACCTGTCAATTTTGTGGAAGCAGTCCAGTTTTTGCAAAGGAAACCTTATAGTACTTTGCATTTTTCAAAAGTTTCTAAACCTGATTCAGATAGAGATTGCAGAAATTAAAATTACAGTGCTTTATGTAAGAGTCTATCAACTTCAAAGTGTAGATATTTTGGATCTTGAATTTTGGATCCAATTGAAAAGAACATTTTTCAGACAATTGGAACAAACTAGATGCTGGAAAAATTGATATTAAGGAACTGTTCATTTTTTGGGTTTTTTGGTTTTTTTTTTGCTTTTTTTAAAGCTGAGCCATCCTGCCACCTGTTGGCAGCTCAGCGGCTGCTCAGCTCGGGCGAGGAATCAAACCGCTGTTGCTCAGAGCTCACACTCTTCTTGAGTGAGCTCTTAACCAACTGAGCCACTCGGCTGGCCCTGGAATTGTTCATTGTTAATGTTGTTAACTGTGATAATACCTGTGGTTAAATTGTTAAAAAGTCCTTATCTGTTGTATATACATAATGAAGCATTTATGGATGAAATGATATGATTTCTGAAATCTGTTTTAAATAGCCAAATAAAAAATAGTCTTTTTTTTTATTTTTTAGCTCTGGAGCAAGCCTGTGTATTGAATTTGAGCATATGTTCATTTTTTTTACTTGCCAACTCTAATCTTAGCTTGTGGCTCTACTTTTCATGAGCAATCAAATTTAATAAACTATTGTACCTTTTGCTTAGCTTAT